ATTGGCCTGCGTATTTCTGGTAGCTCTCCTTTTCCCTTTCCATTTTTCCCTCTTTAGCCTTGCCACTGACAGGTAAATCATGTTCATAGAAATTACTTTTTTTAGGAACTTCTCAACAACAGCAAGATTTCCATTTCTGTCAAATGCATTTCTTTTGTTCGAGTTTTATGACAGAGCCCATTTCCAGGGTAAATTTGCTTTGCCATGTTGTTTTACACTAATGAGAAAACAAACAAACAAACAAAAACCTTGGGTGGGAAAACGATTTGAAAAAAAAATTTTTACCTTTAGTGTTATCACAAATATTTACCATAAATGCATAAAAGAAGCTGTACCCTCTAATGCTTCTTTAAAAGTATCAATATTTCAAGTTAATCCTTAGACAATTAAGTTGTTTCAAAATATTTTCATTCAGGGAAAATGCTTGAATTTCCAAACATGGAAAATTGATCCTTACATATGTCAATGTTAAAATAAAGGCATTTCAATAGTTTGAAAATAAAGTTGGTTGATCGATACCTTATTTGCTATCTCCATAGCGGCACCGTGAGCATGCAGTTTTGCTGCTATTGATAAGTTACCATTATAGGCAGCATAGTGGAGAGCACTATTGCCATGCACATCGACAGCGTTGGGATCGGCACCACGTTCTAATAGCATGATTATGCATTCCTGTGCCTGGCGTTGTACGGCCTGTCAGTATCAGACCAAGAAATAGATTATAAATTCTAGGAATTCAATATAAACATTTCACAGATTTCACTTATTAGTTATATTTAAATGAGATAAATTCATTTTTACTCTACGGGTTTAAAGAAAACCCATCTCATGCTGAAATAGTTGGCAGCTACATACCTTCATCAGAGGTGTCCTGTTTTCACCGTCACAGGGGTTAAGGTCACATTTTTTGTCCAACAGGAACGCTACCACCTGTGCATTTCTGCTGGCACAGGCCAAATGGAGAGCAGTCCTGTGAAAGTGAGAGGACTTTTTAGAAAATTGGAGTTCACTATCTCAAAACATATTCAGGTAATTGTAAACATTAAATCTCATGGTACTCCATCTGTTTTCAAAACAAATCTTTAAGTTTCTTGTGAAGATAGGACAATATTTATTAGCTCTTAGTACTCACTGCATTAATGAAAGAGCAGCCTATCGGAAAACAAAGACATTGACCTTTGGATTCATTTCAACTTGGGTTTGAATCCTCCTTTAAGCTGTCACTTACTAGCTGTGACTTAGCTTTTCTGTGCCTCAATTTCCTCACCAATAAAATGGAAATGAGAATAGTAGGGACACCTCACAGGATACCACTGTGATGCTTACGTGAGAAACTATGCTAAGTGTTTTGAAGAGTTCCTAGTACAAATAACAGCTCAATAATTGTTAGATATTATAATGATTACTGTGACTACTACCTAACAATGCTGACATTCTGATTAAGTAAAATGATACAATAACATCTACCTTGTGGTAAGTTTTAAAGATGAGAGATACAACCGTATTTCAGTGATTCTGAAAAGCTCATTTTTTCACATTCTAACACCTCTGACGTTGGAATGCCACTTGTAATTCATGATTTATTATAACTATAATTGGAAGCGTTTTAAAAATTGTCTTATTGATACATAAGGTAATGGGGCATCACACAATCCATGATGACTTACATTAAATGAACTTTGGTATGTACAACAGGTCTCTGGCAGTTCTTTTCACATGATTAGCATTTAAAGAAATTTTAGTTTTTACCTTCCACCTTAAACATACTATGAAAAAAGAGGGCTGAGATAACAACAACAGTGTATTTTTGAAACAAAGTTAATTCTTACTTTGATTTTCAAAGAACGTTACACCAAAGGAAATACAGGATTCAAGAATGTACGTAAATCAGATATTTCCAACGACTAATATTAGTACTGAAGACTTATAAAATTTCAAAAGGGCGCCTGGGAGCGGGACCCCTCCAGGGTTTCCTCATCCCAGGTGCCCAGGAGCCCGCGGAGGGGAGAGAGCCGAGCACCTTGGGTGGCAGGAGGGCTCGGGCTCCCGCACAGCCCAGGAAGGGGGGCTTCTCCCACACGCCCCCCAGCCCGCCCCCAGCCCCGGGCCCACGGTTCCTATTACCTGTGCTTCTTGTCCGTGGTATTTAGCACGTCTCTGTTGTAGTAAAACATCTTCCGCACTTCCTCGAGCTCACCCCGGTACACAGCTTTGTGGAACTTCCCCAGATCTTTGAGGTGGACGACATATCCCTGGGGTGAGTTCAAGCTGTGGCTTTTCTTACGCCGGGGAGGTTGGGTCTCCCCCGAAGGGGCAGAGCAGGTGCACCCCATCTTGCCGCTGAAGCCGAAATATTTCGGGTAAAGCCTTCCGGGTCCGTAGACACCTCAGCTCCTCCTCACTTTTTCTCCGCCTCTGTAGCCAAAAGCTAGCAAGCCAACCCAGTCTGGCCGAAAGCCGCAAGGAGCAAGCTCCGCGCCTTCCGCCGGTCAGACCAGTAAAGGCAAAGCCAACCGTTAGACAGTGCGCGGGCGCACCTTAGCCCGCGTCATCGCTGCGCGTGCGCACAAAGACCCACGCGCCGCGGCTAACGAATTCTCTTCGAGGGTTGGCGTTGCTAGCCGGTGGCGGCCGCAGCGCGGAATTGCCGGGCTCTCCGCTGGCTGCCTCGGGGTCGCCGCGCGCTGCCCGCCAGGCCCGAGACACCAGCCCCAGAACACGCGAGGAGGGTTCCGGGAAGTCCTTCTCCACCCTCAGCGCAGGCAGCTACCCCTCCACGCTGGCTCTGTGTGCACAGGGAGGAGCGGGGACGGGCGGGCCTGGGACGGGCGGACACCTCCGGTCAGCGCCTGCTCCTCACACGCACGTGGATCGCGAGGTCTGTGGGTGCAGGGCCCTCTTGCGATCGAGGCTGAGCAGCCGCTTCCCGCCCCTGTGTGCCACCGCCACCGCCACCGCCTGGCTTGGCCCATGTCGAGGCCCCTGGCCCTGAGGTCCGGGATGCTGGGGTCGCAGGAGATCGGGAGCTTTCTAAGCCTCCGCTGCTCGTGCCCAGCCTGCGGGTCCCGGCTGCAGCCGTGGCGCCAGTGCGGGCTACCGGGGACCCCGCACAGTGCCAGGAAGCAGCCGCTCAGTCCCTATGCCCTGTGGCTGCAGAGTGTCCTGTGTCGCAGCCCCCACGCTCCAGCTGCAGGCCAAGGAGGAGCGGGCCGGGCCGGGACGCTGAGCGACCCTGAGAAGGACAGCAGCCATCCCCGGTTTCACCATTGAAACAACTGCTTGCACTGATTATTCCAGTTTGTAAGCACTTGGGTGATTTTAGTTTGTCGGGTGTTTGGTCTAAGAATATTCTGTTGTGAACTTGATTGCAACCACTGCACTGTAATAATTCAATGTTGTATTATGGTCTTGCTGTAAACAAAATTTGTTCTTATGTTGTCATTTATTCTTTGCCTGATTCGGGAGTTGAAGTAGGAGCTTTTGAATTATTATTATTCATGACTCCTCTGCAAATGTGGCAGTCTGCAAAGAGAATATATCCCCCCAATTTTCTGGAACTTCTTCTGTTAAGGAAAATGGTGGGAAAAGAAGAAACTGTGATAACTAGGGTGTTGTTTTTCAAAATAAACTGCCAACACAGGGATCCCATGAGTGCGTGGGTTGTTAATTCTGAGGTGGAAAAAAAAAAAGACTCTATTACATAAAACACTTGGTACAAAAAGATTCATTGTGTTGTGATTTGAAAAGTGCTTGTGCAGAAGAAAACGTGGCAAGGATGAAAGTGAGTGCCATCCCCTTCACACCCGTATTTGTTCTAGAAGGGAATTTGATATGAGGCACTGCCATCTTGGACCTATTCCAGGAGAATTTAGATTGTAAGTTATCAAAAGGCACATAAGTTTCATGTCATAACCCTAAAGGACAGTGACTGATCAAGAGTAATGACAGAAAGGAAATATATTTTGTCCAAATAAGTTTCCAGTTTTAGTCTCGAGCTAAATAAATAAGCTTACTTCAGTTGCTGAATCCAGGGAATGATCCGTTTCTTATCATCATTCACAGACTTCTCCATGTCATCCAAAGTGGCTTGGTCTACAAAATAAAGCACTTCCTTAAGTAATTGCTCACACGAGAAACATTATTTAGGTAGCCTAAAACTCAAATGCAAATTATTATTTTAGGCAGAAAATCACATTATTTTTGAGTCAGAGAAAAACTTAATTAAATGCAGCATTAGATATAAACCAACCAAATTTGTTTTCCCTCTTTAACATTTAGGGAGAGTTATAGATAAGACAACTAATTAATAGCAAATGTACACTGAGAGAAAGAACAAATAACAAATACATGAACT